GCAAATTAAACTCATTTTCACAAGAATGGTTGAGCACCAGGCCTCGTTTTGATATTGAGGCCAAGGGTAATTCGGAAATGGGCTATTCAATTTGTTCAGTCATGGATGACGTTCTAAAATTCTAGATCAGAGGGGGTTGATAAGATATTACTCACTTTCTGGGTCATCGTCGTATTTAATTAGTCTTAAATCTTTTATCTTTCGTTTCAGTTTGTAGGTATTAAAAATCGTTGATTAAACAAGCTTATCAACAACCCCCCTTCCCCTGCCCTCCTATTTATTGTTTCTGTGTCCAGACTCTTGTGCGCAGTAAGATAAACTCAAATTTTCTTTGCTTACCTTTCTAAGAAATACCTCACTGTTACTGACCGAATGAAAACTTTGATGAGAGTTAAAATCTTATCTTTTATTCCTTCCTAATAAATTTCAATTATCCGAGTCAATCAATTTATCTTCTCTCTTATATTCCATTAGCGGGCTCACCTGAGATTTTCATTTTCCTCTAGCGTTCATTTCTACTCCTGCTTGTTACCCATTTCAGCTCTTGTTATAAATTTAATTTACCTTTTAAAGCAGTTTGACTTTCTTTTCGCTTTTGCAAACATTTCGCATATTTAGTACATCGCTCGCAGCGCCCGTTGATTGAACACGCTTATCAACTACCCCCCTCCCTCTGTCCTCCTATTTATTGTTTTAGTGTTTAGAGACTTTTGGGCAATAAGATGAATCCAAATTTTCTTTATTTACCTTTCTACGAAGTTCCTGACTGGTTTAAAACTTTGATGAGATTTAAATCTTACGTTTTATTCCCTCTTATAACTTTCAATTTTTCAAGTCTATCAATTTCTCGAGTCGAAGAAAATGATAAACTTCCTTTTCTAGACTCTCTTAGGGATGATGTTTTTGTTTATATCTCATAGTTACAATGTATTTATCATACTATATCATTTTACTACGGTATTATTCTTTCTCATTGGTGTTATGGTAGCAGCACAGAGAATAAGATTCAAGATTTAATTCATTATCCAAACAAAATAGCTTTGGTGAGTAGCAAAGTCGGTGCTACATTCCCAGATGCATCCAAAATGTGCTTATGGCTTTAGCCATGTGCTGGGTCATTTTATCATTTGTGGCTGTCGCTTAATTACCGGGGTCAGTTACCTAAATCTAACCAGTAAGATTAAAGCAAACAAACACGAATTATTTTCAAATTCTTTGTCATCTTTGCTTACTGTGGTCCCAAGCACTGATTGGCTTAATTGAACTAAGTTGGAAATGTTTGTTTCCTATAATGTGATGTGTTAATCTTTTTAACAAGGAACCAGGAACAGAAGTGGTATTGAAAAGTTATTCCTTTTTTTTTTAGTAAAACAGGGCACCCCAACAAAGGATGAACTGGAGAACTCTCATATAGTCCGTGAGCGAGCTCACACGAGATTTTTATTTTCCTCTAGAGCTCATTTCGACTCCTGCTTGACTCTCTTTTCGCTTTTGTAGACATTTCAGCAGGAGAGGAGAGTTGTAAAAATGGTGATCGTTCAGAAAACAAGCGAAGAAGGCTTGCAGGTATTATGATTAGCAAGTGAAGAAAGGTTATATATAGGTCACTTTCAATAACTTATACTAGACCTACAGTGGTAGAGTGTCGGAGCGCTGAATTCGAAGCAATACTCCGAAGGTAAAAGAAATCCTTATGAAATTTTACATTTTCCTTCTGATTAAGTTGCGAGATGTGTGTAATCTGGGAGACAACCGTGATGTTTTACGCACAAAGTTTTTTTTTTTCACCTCGGCTACCTAATTTCTGAACATTACTGACCGATGACGAAATGGACCCTGGAAATTTCATCTTTACGATCGATATAAGAGGAGCTTCTGAGAAAAGGAAAGTTAAAGAAGAGAGTGTGTTTGTTCTTTTGTATAGCGGGGAAATTGGGATAAAATTATATTCCATCCGGGGAGAGGCAGTACTCTTAATCCTTTTATGCTAAAGAAACAGTGCTTGAGTTCGTGTGATATTGGAAACTTGGCGTCGCATACATTTTCATTCCTTCAATAAAAGTTCGCTTAAGTAATTTTTTTTTTTTTCAGAACCGTTGAATGTTGAGAAGTGCCAAGAGCAGCTAAAGTCTTATTACGACACCTTCAATAAGGTCAAAATCGTTCCATGGGACGACAGCTCTTCCATTCAGATTGATGAGATCTACACACCTTTGAGTTGGGTCAGAAATCACAGGAAGCCCAGCGGAGTGACACAAGAGGAACTTAAAGACTACACCGACCTGTTCAATGGAAAACCAACACGAATGCTTGTTTATGGTCGGCCAGGAATTGGCAAGAGTACGTTTTGTAAAAAGGCTGCCTATGACTGGTCGAAAGCCTTAAAAGAAATCTCGATGAACTTTTGCATTTTGCTGCTGATTAAGTTGCGAGATGTGTGTAATTTGGGAGATATCTGTGATGTTTTATCTGCGTCTAAACTGCTGGCCAGTGATGGTCCGATCTCAGTGGACAGTCTCTATGATTACATAATTAACAATCAAGATAAAGTGCTTCTTATTTTGGATGGGTATGAAGATTACAGCTGTGTAGAACACTCACCCATCCTCGAAATTTGGAAGGGCAAGCTTCTTAAAGATTGCTACGTTATTGTCACCACGCGACATATTCAATGTGACGAGTTAAGAGGTCCCAGCCACGTTCAGTTTGAAATGCACGGTTTCAAAAGTTTGGATCAAATCGAAACATTTGCAAGTAAATTTTTGGCCACCGGGAAAGATGTCGAAGAGTTTATGAGCTTTCTTGTGGAGAAAGATCTCCTCGACATGGCAGAAATACCTCTCCTCTTACTAATGCTGTGCCTTTTGTGGAATGAGAAACATTGCGAAGGACTGCCAACGTCACGGGCCGACATTTATACGCATTTTATTCAAACTTTGCTTGATCACAGGTGTTCAAGTCAACAGCGTATAGCATTTCATCAGAAAGTGACTTCAACAGAAGTTAGGGAAGACCTCAGTAATATTGGAAAGGTTGCCTTCGATGCACTATTACAAGGCTGTCTTTACGTACGCTGCAGCGAACTCCCCGACAGTATTTCAAGAACTTTTGAAAAACTCAGTGAAGCTGGACTTTTCCAGATTGTCAATATGACGAGTCTGAATCGCGAGAAAGGGGCCTTTTTCATTCATAAATCCGTACAGGAGTTCCTTGCAGCCTGGCACATCAGGGAGGAAGTATTATCGATTAAAGGCGACAGTACGCGCAGCTTGTCCAAAGTTGAAACGCTTGAAAAGATCATCAAGACGAAGGAAGTACTCAAATTTGCTTGTGAGCTGTCAAAGGAAGCCGCGCTCGCGGTTTTCCGTCACCTATGGTGTGTTGGAAGAAAGGAATCTTTGTCAGAACGTGATTTCATCGGGCAAATCTTCGGAGGTACGTGTACATGTATGTAACATTTTATAAGTGGTTGTGGCTTCCAAGACTGCTTGTAACTTGCTTGTTTTCCTTGATTTAAAGTATCGTTATCTCTTATGAGAACATAAGTACTTAAAGTGGAATTAAGGAGTTATCTTGTGGAGCATTTGCTACATAGCTAAAAGTGATCGGTACGAGAGAAGACCGAAAAAGACATAAGCACTGTTTTTCTCAGTCGCCTTGTTTTGAAAAACTTAAAGTCAGAGATATGTAAAAGTTCACTTTGGTAGATTTAATTCCAATTTTGAAATTATGAAGGACGTACTTAAACTCAAGATTAGAGGGGATATAAGAAATTACTCACTTTCTGCATCTTCATTATATTTAAGAATGGCTACCTGTTAGGATCGAGAATGGTCCAACAACGACCATTTTGGTGAATTGCTCATATTTTGCCCAACGATACCCTTTGGTAAACTGTTTTCAGAAATCAAGTTTAAACGTTCCGGCGAGTGTTGATTTTTCAGAAATTTGCGAAAATTTTAAAACGCGGTTTAAGTGCGGTATTCCGCCTGGCAAATTGCCCAAAATTCACTGCAAAACCCAAGCTCCGTTGAAGGCTTAAAATGAATTCACTTAACACCAAACTTTACATGTGTTAAGAAAAAGTCTTCCCATTCATTTGTGTTATGTTAATTTTTTCCGTACACAGCTATGTTGTGATTTTTTTTT